AATAGCTTGACTCCCTCTTCTTTGGGGCAGCCCCTGAGATACTGGAATGCTGCTATCCTGTCCCCCCTCGTCCTTCTCTTCGTTAAACTAGACAGACCCAATTCCAGCAACCGTTCCTTATATGTTTTAGCCTCCAGTCCCCTGATCATCTTTGTTGCTCTTCTCTGCACTCTTTCTAGAGTCTCAACATCTTTTTTACATCGTGGTGACCAAAAGTGGATGCAGTATTCCAAGTGTGGCCTTACCAAGGCCTTGTAAAGTGGTATTAATACTTCACAAGCTGTTTTCCTTGCTACCTCCTGGGTGGTGGTGGTGGGGCTTCGTGGTATCCGCAACAGAACGTCCAGATTCAGCCAGAGTTTCGTTCCATACAGCATTAACCTTGTGAACTCTCAACCTTCCTCCTTCCGTTATATATTCAAGATGGACAGTATTTAATATTCATTTGCTATGTATATGTAGGGGTGTGGGTCTATACCAGTGGTGGTGAACGTATGGCACGGGTGCCAGAGGTGGCACTCAGAGCCCTCTCTGTGGGCACGCGCGCCGTCGCCCCAATCCTAGGCCTTCAGCTGGGTTTTATAAAACCTTTTCACTTTAGGCCTCCGCCGCCGTGTGCAAAAAAAAAAAAAGGTTCAATCAATCAGTCAATTTCAACTTCTCGCGGGAAAAAAAAAGATCTCGCAAAGTTGGAATTGATTGATTGAACTTTTTAGTCCCACCCAGTCTGACGTTACAACCACAGCCACGCCCACCCAATGGGCCACACCCACCCAATGGGCCACACCCACCCGGCACCCGACGATGCATGAGTGGGTTTTGGGTTGCAGTTTGGGCACTATATTGTACATAGTGTGTTTAGGTGTGTGTCATGTATGTGTTTCACTTTGAGAGCGGGCAACTAAGTTTCATTTTTGATGGGTGCCGTTGTGCCCACAGTAAAAAAAAAAAATGACAATAAAGGTTATCTTATCTTATCTCTTATCTTATCTTGCCACAATTGTTAATGGAATCCCTGCAGTTAGTAAGTTAGCAACCCGGTTGTTAAGTCAATCTGGCTTCCCCAGGGTCAGAAGTTCGCAAAAGGGGATCGCGTGACCCCCGGGGGACCCGGCGACCGTCATAAATATGAACCAGTTGCCAAGCGTCCGAATTTTGATCCCGTGACCTCGGGGATGCTGCCAAGGTCCGTAACTGTGAGTCAAATTTTTCAGCGCCGTTGTAACTTTGAACGGTCACTGAATGAATCGGTCACCCTCGGCTTGGTTTGGCGACCGTTCAAAGTCACAACAACACCTTAAGAAGTGAGTTACGACCACGTTTCACAGTTAACGATGGTCGCAGCGTCCCGCAGTCGCGTGGATCCAAGATTTAGCGCTTGGCAACCGTCTCATCTTTACAACGGGTTGCAGTGCGTCCCCAGGGGGGGTCACGTGATCCCCTTTTGCAACCTTCTGACAAGCAAACTCAACGGGTTCACTTAGCAACCGGGTCACTAACTGAACCACTGCAGTGATTCGCTTAACAAAGGGGGCAAGGCACGTCGTAAAACGGGGCAAGACTCGCTTAACAAATTCCTCGCTTAGCGACCTAAATTGTGGGCTCAGTTGTGGTCGTAAGACGAGGACCTCCTGTAAAAAGAAGTTGGAGGATCAATTCAACTCTTGTGCCCGCCATCTTGATTTCTTTGACCACCACCCCCCGAAGATTCCCACTCCGCAAAGCTGCACCCCCCCTGCCCCTCCCAACCGGCTGTTACCTTCCAGCGACGTCGCATGACGTATCTCCGGAGCAGGACCTGAGATTTGAGCCGTCGGTTGACCCGCTTCGCTTTGTCGGCCAGGTTGTTCAGCCAGGGGTGCTGGAGGCACTGGGCCGCGCTCATCCTCCCGCTGGGAGAAAGAGGGAGGAAAGAGAGGAGGAAGAAAAAAAGGCATTACGGGGTAGTCCTCGACTTACGATGGTCCGTTTAGTGACGGTTCAAAGCACTGGAAAAAAGTGACTTAGAACCGTTCTTCAGAGCTACGACCTTTGCAGCACCCCTCCCCCCTGTGGTCACGTGATCAAAATTCAGACGCTTGGCAATTGACTCATATTTACGACGGTTGCCGTATCACGAGGGGGTCGTGTGACCCTCTTTTCCCACCTTCTGACAAGCGAAGTCAGTGGGGAAAATCAGACTGGACAGCCATTTGTCTGAAATGGTATAGGGTTTCCTGCCTGAGCAGGGGGTTGGACTAGATGACCTCCAAGGTCCCTTCCAACTGTATTATTATCATTATCATTATTATCATCATTATCATTATCATTATTATAACAACCGTGATAGTAACTTAGCAACTGCAGCGATTCACTTAAGAACGGTGGACAGAAAGATCGTAAAAGGGGGCAAAACTCATTTAGCAATTGTCTCCCTTGACAAAAAATAAAATAAAAATAAAAATGGGGGCTCAATTGCAGTCGTAAGGCGAGGACTGACTGCACCAGCCTCTGGCGAGACAAAACCAGCATCTCGGGTCCAGCTGGCAAAGGGAGTTTGCGGGCATCGCTGTGGCCACGTTCGGCCAGTCTGCCTTCTTCATACTGTGGCATTTCTCCGGTGAGACTGTGGTCCTTGTTAGTTTAAAGCCAGCTTTAAAGCCAGGAGACAGTGAGTTCTAGTCCCGCCTTAGGCATGAAAGCCGGCTGGGTGACTTTGGGTCAATCACCAGGAGACGGGGAGTTCTAGTCCCGCCTTAGGCACGAAAGCTGGCTGGGTGACTTTGGGCCAATCACCAGGAGACAGTGAGTTCTAGTCCCGCCTTAGGCACGAAAGCTGGCTGGGTGACTTTGGGCCAATCACCAGGAGACGGTGAGTTCTAGTCCTGCCTTAGGCATGAAAGCCAACTGGGTGACTTTGGGTCAATCACCAGGAGACGGTGAGTTCTAGTCCTGCCTTAGGCATGAAAGCCAACTGGGTGACTTTGGGTCAATCACCAGGAGACAGTGAGTTCTAGTCCCGCCTTAGGCATGAATGCTGACTGGGTGATTTTGGGCCAATCATCAGGAGACTGTGAGTTCTAGTCCCACCTAAAGCATGAAAGCTGCCTTAATGTCTTTGGGCCAATCACCAGGAGACAGTGAGTTCTAGTCCCACCTTAAGCATGAAAGCCAGCTGGGTGACTTTGCGCCAATCACCAGGAGACGGTGAGTTCCAGTCCCGCCTTAGGCATGAAAGCCGGCTGGGTGACTTTGGACCAGCCCCTCTCCTTCAGTCCAACCCATCTCACATGCTGGCTGGAGAATTCTGGGAGTTGAAGTCCACCAGCTGCCAAGATTGGAAACCCCCCCCCCCCGTTCTAAGGCACTCAGGGTTGGTGGCTCAAGCCTTGCCCTCTTGTGTTGAGGCACTGAGTCTAGACTAAGTCCCTGTTTGACCCCTCTGCCCGTCTGCGAGGGTTGCTCTCCAACACACGGACCCTTTTTGCTTGATGATCAGGTTGGAGACAAAATCTTTGGCTTCGTCTGAGATGCCCTCAAAGGCTTCCTCGTCGAAATACCACTCCGACAACAGGACGTTGTTGAGGGTTTCCGGGTCGTTGTCCCCCATGAAAGGGGAGAGACCACTCAGCCTGGAAGGGAGGGAGAGACAGAGAAGACGAGAGCATAAAACGTCTGCAGATGGTGAGGTCCTCCAGCCAGGAGAGAGTCCAGCTCCACAAGGCCAAGTCTGGCCGCAAGGAGACTTCCACAGGACGGATTTGGGGGGCTGGGCGTGGATTACGGAGTCTTCCACCAACCTGCTGGCAGACCTCAAATGCGATGGCGGTCTATCCCAAAGGTGCTTCTTTCAAGAGGCAACTGGACTTTCTTGTTTTTCTTTGAAGATGTTTCGCTTCTCATCCCAGAAGCTTCTTCCGGTTCTGACTGGATGGTGGGGAAGGGAAGGATTTATACTCCTTGCAGACAGCTGGTCATTTGCCTTCTTTTAGAGAGTCATTGAGGCCACTTGGAGGTTTACCTGTGTCCTCAGGGTCTCCTGAGTGGTGCAAATGGGTGTGGAACCTTCTACAACGCGGTCCTTTCAACAGTTCCAAGAAGGCTCCACGCCCATTTGCACCACTCAGGTGATCCTGAGAGCACAGATAAACCTCCAAGTGGCCTCAAGGGCTCTCTAAAAGAATGCAAATGACCAGCTGTCTGCAAGGAGTATAAATCCTTCTCTTCCCCACCATCCAGTGGACTTTCTTCTTTTTTCTTTGAAAACGTCTTTGCTTCTCGCCCAAGAAGCTTCTTCAGCTCTGACTGGATGGTGGGGAAGGGAAAGATTTATATTCCTTGCAGACAGCTGGTCATTTGCATTCTTTCAGAGAGTTATTGAGGCCACTTGGAGGTTTATCTGTGTCCTCAGGGTCTCCCAAGTGGTGCAAATGGATGTGGAGCCTTCTACAACACGGTCTTTCAGCAGTTCCAAGAAGGCTCCACACCCATTTGCACCACTCGGGTGACCCTGAGGGCACAGATAAGCCTCCAAGTGGCCTCAACGACTCTCTAAAAGAATGCAAAGGACCAGCCGTCTGGAAGGAGTATAAATCCTCCCATTTCCCCACCATTTGGTCAGAACCTGAGGAAGCTTCTCGGATGAGGAGAGAAACGTCTTCAAAGGAAAAACAAGAAAGTCCAGCTGCCTTGTGGAAAAGCACCTTTGGGACAACCCTGACCTGGATGACGGAGAATCTCTATAGACCCCAAATCCATGTTAACTTAAGCCAGCTTTAAAGATTTTTGCAATGGGGTGCGTGCTGCAAACCCCTAGATTTAGGGTCACTATTGCTCCTGGGGAGGAAAGCTATGGCAAATCTAGACTGCATACTAAAAAGCAGAGACATCACCCTGCCAACAAAAGTGTGTAGAGTCAATGCCATGGTTTTCCCAGTTGCAATGTACGCCTGGGAAAGCTGGACCATAAGAAAGGCTGAGCGCCAAAGAATGGAGGCCTTTGAACTCTGGTGCTGGAGAAGACTCCTGCGAGTCCCCTGGACTGCAAGGCGATCAAACCGGTCAGTCCTGGAGGAGATCAACCCCAACTGCTCTTGAGAAGGCCATATCCTGAATTTGAAACTCAAGTACTTTGACCACCTAATGAGAAGGAAGGACTCCCTGGAGAAGAGCCTGATGCTGGGAAAGATGGAGGGCAAGAGAAGAAGGGGACGACAGAGAAGGAGGTGGCTGGAGGGAGTCACTGAAGCAGCAAGCGTGAGCTTCAATGGACTCCAGAAGATGGTGGAGGACAGGAAGGCCTGGAGGAACATTGTCCATGGGGTCGCGATGGGCCGGACACAACTAACAACAACGCTGCCCCTTGCACCCCGACTTACAGCATATATGTGATCACCCCCATGCTCCACATGTCGCTGCTGTAGGAGACCGGCTCGTAGCTGACCACCTCCGGCGGCAGGAATTCCGGGGTGCCGAAGTTGACTTTTAGTTTTTCACGGGGGTTGAACCTGTCCAGGGGAGGAGGAGAAGCTGAATTGGTCCTGGCACATTGGAATACAGGTAGTCCTCGAATTACGACCAAAATCGAGCCCAACATTGATGTTGCTCGGTGAGAAATTTGTTAAGTGAGTTTTTCCCCATCTTACGACGGGTCGCAAAAGGGGAGCACGTGACTTCGGGACACTGTGACTCTCATAAATGTGAGCATCCGAATGTAAATCACGCGACCGTGGGGAGGCTGCAACGGTCGTGTGAAAAATGGTCATTCAGTGACCGTTGTTAACGGTCACTAAGCAAACTGTTGTAAGATGAGGACTACCTGTATGCCTCCCTGACATACCCTTTTCGCCCCCACCCCTTCCAGGTAAAGCAGGGGGTTGGACTAGATGACCTCCAAGGTCCCTTCCAACTTTATTATTATTATTATTATTATTATTATTATTATTATTATTATTATTATTATTA